GGCCAGCAGAAATTTCAGTCACACTTCTCCACTGACACAAATAAGCATTCCTCTTCCCAAGAATGAGGAGAAATATTTATTCCACTGTGTCACCCTTTTTGTAACTGACAAAGACACGAATAATTCAAAGAAGTTTTTGTTCTATATTATCAAATAAGATATTTCTCGGCAAGCTGAATTATTTTTGTCAATTAGTGCAACCCATTATTAATGCACACTCAATGCAAACAGTTTTATAGCAACTTCTACAGGACCTGATTGTTATTTATTTTGATGGCACACAGACCACACACCATAACCACAATTTCTGGACATTCTTAAATGCTCAGATGGGCAACCTTAATGCCCACAGCTACTGATTTAGGGTCCATCAGTTAATTGGCATGAATAAAAAGATTGTATATAGGCACAAGAAAACTGAGTAATCATTGCTGGAGTGGCCTGTAAACTTCCATATAAACTTTATCAGTTAGAGCTCACATGGGGAAAAAAAATACACCTACAATAGACATGTCAAAATGTCAAAAGCACAACATATGTGAGTAAGTGTCCCAGGACTACTTTCTGTGGTTTTCTATGTACTAGCCAGTCAGTGTAGCTACCACCAAATTTGAATGAACAATAACAATCCAGTTTTTTTTCTATATTCAAAAATATACTACAGCAAATCCTGATTAGTTCAGATTAATGGGCCAGAAACTTTGAGTTTGAATAATAAAAGTTAATACAAAATACACAGTGGTATGTAACTCACTTTATACAAGTCATGAGATCATAAAAAACATGAGTATGGATCAAAAAAAGCTCTTATGAGCTAAGGTGGGGAAACCCCCCCCCAAAAAATTAAATGTTAGAGTGAAAAAAATTTTAATGCAAATAATCACTTCCTAATTAATCAACTTTGTATTTTTTTAAAAAATACTGAGACTTCACAATGCTGGAAAAAGGCAAGAAAGAATTAAGTTACTACATATGGTAATAAACTAACAAAAACTAGTCAATTAAGCACTCCTTAAAAGAAAACTGCTCTTAAAATACCTTCACAAAACTGACAAAAACATCCTATTTACACCTAAAATCTAAACTTTTAATGGAGATCTCTATAGAGATCAGTGTCCTTAATTTAGTTAGGGAAGGAGGTTGAAATGACAGCATATTTCAAATTTGCTGGGAAAACATTCAAGTATTACTTGCTACAATATGAACCAGGACTTTTTTTTTCCTTTTTTTTTTTTTTTTGGTCTTTTGGTGAAGCAATTGGGGTTAAGGGACTTGCCCAGGGTCACACAGACACTGTCATGCATCTGAGACCACATTTGAACTCAGGTCCTTTTGACTCCAAATCCAGACTTCTATCCACTGCGCCACCTAGCTGCCCCTGATGGGGTGCTTGGGTGCTTGTGCTTGTACCCCAATTTCTCCCTAGCCTCAGAAACACTGTCTCTGACAACCACTCCCCAGCCCAAGGACACTGTGCCTAGCAGTTATTCATGCATGGGCCTCAGCATGACCCTTATCTCTCTCCCTGGTACTGCTACACAGAGCTGGGCTGCTCAAGCCCCAGCCCTCAGATCATGTCTCTGGAAGCCTCCCAATTCCTTAGTAAGTTTCTGTCTTGTGAGAAAGCTTTCCCTTGTTGCAGAGCATTCTCTCATCAAGGCAGAGGAAGAGCGGTGCCTTGCCCAGCCCAAGGAGTTTTGTCCTTGGCCAGCCCAAGGACTTTTCCTCCTGCCAGACTCCAAAGATCCATACCTTTGTCATCTCCCTCCCTGTCCGGTATACTCCCTGTACTTTCCCATCCATAGCCCCCAAAGACACCTGCCCCTTTGGATTACCTCATCAGTGAACCTGGCACTTCTTTCCCATGCTCTTTTCCATGTAAATCCTAGCTCCATCCTCAGTCTCTCACAGGATCCTTTAAGAATCCTTGCCCGCTGAAAAGTGTAACAACAAATCTTTGCCACCTCGAATTAAAGAATGCTTGAGTCTGTGAATTCATTCCAGACGACCCGACCTGTACTCCGGTCTTTGAGGGGGCACAACCTCTTCAACCTTGTACACCGCAACACCCCCAGAAGTATTTTTCTAATAGTCTCTTTCACTAGTTCCCTATATGAAAGATGTGATCTAGACCATGGGTAGGTCAGTACCATGGCTAAATTTCACTACAGTTTCCAACAACCTCTATAAAATACTAAAGGATATATCTGTAGAGTTTGCCATGCATATGGAAATAAGGAAAAAATAAAGAGTAGGATAATAGGAACCCTGGATTGAGGACAGATTGGTCTACTAACTGTCCTTGAAAACAAGACATGCAGGCCCACCTAGGCCTTTCTGTTCTTGGTATCTTTCCTTTAAACAGGAAATGCCCTCCCCTTTTCCATCTTTTCAGAAGCTCCAAGGCCCTGCTCGAGTCCTACTGCCTCACAGAAGCCCAACTTGACATCTTGAACTCTTTTAATTTTTCTGAGGTTATGCACTTACTGCTTATGGAACTGCCACTACCATCATTTCACACTACTCTCATTTAGCTGATCAAATATCCATCTCATCTTCTTAACTAAGCCCTAAGCTCCCTGAGACCAGATCTTTATCTCTCCCAGAACACAGTGTAAGATGTCAAGTAAGCTTTCAAAAAATATCAACCAATGGTGTACTACGGTATAATTTAGTCTTTCAATATTGGATCTATATTCTTTACTTTGTAATGTCTTAGTTTGCAATTATGGTTTTCTATTATTTTATTATGATGTATTAATATGCATTAAATGCATTAAATATATTATACTGTATATATTACATATTATACAGTATACATTATTATATGAAGAAGAGAACAAATATTTGTTAGCAATTATTATATGCCAGGAACTATGCTAAGCACTTCTTTTAAACAAATGTCATCTCATTTGATCTTCACAACTACTGTGCCAGGCAGCTGCTATCCGGCATTAAAATGTATTAATTCATCTTTGGTATGACAGAACATAGTGATGGTTCCCTGTTTCCATTATTCTGTATTCCTAACAGTGCTCAATTCTACAACATAAATAAGCAGCCCCCAGGGTGTTAACAAAAAGTAGCTTCATTGCTATAGGTAAGACTAGAGCTAAGTATAGGGAGAAGAGGGTATTTATGATAGACAGTATTTTACAGGAAACCAAAGGCCTCCCAATCTAAAAATACCTTCCTGTGAGCACTTGATTGAGCTTGAAATGTATTAGAATTAACAACTAGAATCCCCTTGGATTAAACTACAAAATGTTCTTCTGTTAAAAGTGTAATTACGTTACAGAGGAAAGGTGAAATAAAGGTGAAAGTCATTATTATTCATGAAAATCTGAGCTTAAATTAGTTTATCACCTTTAGCTGACTAGTCCAGGGAGGGTCTGGTGAAAAAGGAGATGTACTGCTCTTCTGATGGAGGGAAGGGGTCAAGAAAGATCTAAAAGACAAAGTACCACTGCAGAACATCAGCCCCTTGTCCAGGTCTACACGTTTTGAGGTGTATTTAAGACTAGAGAAGTATAACAACAAGAGACAGAATGGAGTACAAGAATGTTTCTCATTACAATTTTGCATAAGGGTTGAGCTACCTACCACTAGAGTTTAAAGTCAATTTTAAAATAAAACTTTTAATTCACAGTCAAACTTTACTCAAATATTCCAACATAGTCACTATTTACTCCAATAGTCAAAGACTATTGGAAAGGAACGGCTAAAAGCTTGTCATCCGGTCATCGTTCCTTTGGGAGTTATACAGGAGGCAGCCTTTTTGTTGTTCAGTTGCTTCTGACTCTTCATTCGGTGTTTTCTGTGCAAAGATCCTGGAGTGGTGTGTCATTTCCTTCTCCAGCTCATTTGACAGATGAGGAAACTGAGGTATACAGGGTGCAGTGATTTGGTCACCCAGCTAGTAAGGATCTGAGGCTGGATCTGAACTCAGGAAAATGCGTCTTCCTGACTTTAGGTTCAGTGCTCTATTCATTGTGCCACCTCGCTGCCCCTAAGCACACGCCTGACATCATTACATGACAGGCAGTGTAGTCTAGTGGAAAAAACACTAGACTTGGGAGAGGAAAATCGGGGTCCAAATCTTGGTTCTTCTATTTACTATCTCGGTGAATCACTGCAATCTCTTTGGGCCTTAATTTTCTTACCTATACCTTAGGGGACTGGCCTAAATAAGGCCTATGGTCTTTTCTAGGTTCAATCCTATGACTTACAAACATAAGTTTATCACATTTATGTCATTAGTCAGAAACCTATAGTCATTTTGCTTAAATATAAAATAAACCATACCCAAATTTTGGAAGTGTTTATGTTCTGTATCACTCAACAGATAATTTTTCTAATATAGGTAAAATGAGCTAATTCAAAGTGCACATAAAGGAAGCATATCACATGAGAACACAGTGAAAGTTAGCACCATCCCTATCCAGGTGACTGAACCTTCTTAAATAATTTTAAAACCTTTAAGGAAAAAAAGAAAGGAGAAAAGAAGTTCTTAAACCCTCCAACCTTCCTGAGGTTTGCAGTCCTTCCTGAGGTTGACTTTAGGATACAAAAGTTATGTTTCTACATTGTAGCCTAAAGGCATGTGAAATTGTATGTTTAAATTAAAACATCAGTATTACCTTGGGTTTTGTACTTGTTCCTATGGCTAAATCAAAAGTGCAAAAAGAAAGACATGCTTCTGACTTTCATGCAAGATTTTTTTTATCTCAGAAAACAAAGATACTTAAATATAATACAAATTTAAGTACAGATTTTATAGTAAATGTATAAAATAGCTAAATATACAAAGAATTGCATGGTAGTAGGCCTTAGCTGGTGATCTTTGCCACATGCCACTATTTATTTCTCCCTTACAAATTACAATTATCACTTATAAAACCTATCATGCTTCAGAAAACAATGCAGGGAAATGATGAATGTATTTGTCTGGCATGCACATAAGAAGTGTTGTGTGGAGGTAGCATATTCAGTCCCCTTACCTGTAGGAGGGATACTGTCTGCGAAAAATGGTGCTGCTCCATGGTTGAGGTGGAATAGAGAGCTGCCAAAGGGTGATCAAACTTCTGAAGGTAGCTATTACTGAATCCCCTGTGGTCCAGGTCATGACATAGGCATGCAATCAGAAGTCCTTTTCGCTAAAGAAATGCAGCACAGATGTTCAGAGGAAGGAAATGGGCTGTGATGAAACTCATACCTTGCCTTGAATGTCACAATAACAATTTTCAACAATGCTATCAACTCCCTCTTGCCCCCACAGAGAAACATGTAGATTCTGCCAGCACTTAGCACAGTGACTGGCACATAGAAGGCACTTAATAAATGTTTACTGATTGATTGACAAGATCCCAGTCCCAGCCTTTTCCCTTTCTTCTTTATCTTCAGCTGAAACTTCCCCAGGGGCATCCAATTTCTCTATTCATTTATAGCCAGTGTGACAGTGAAGGAAAAAGGTGAAAGAACAGTGACAAAGTATCAGTAAGGAAAGTGACTTGGAGCAAATCAAATTCATTTGATTTTTTTAAAAAAAAATTATCCGTGTGTCTGTCTCATTGTTCTTTACTCTGAACGAGAACTAACTATAGGTCAGACAAGGGTTCAATTAGCAATAAGCAAAGGGTACATGGAGGGGAATAATGAAAAAAAAAGCCAAGAAGATAAAACTGTGCCAAGGGCTGAAGGCCCTTGAATGTCAGGGAAAATGGAACTTTCTTTGGTAGGTAATATGTAGTCATTGAAGACTTTAAGCATAGGAATTGATATGATTAGTTCTATGCCTCTGAGAGACAATTCCATTATGGATATGAAGGATGCACTGTTAAGGGGAGAAAGTACAGGCCAGGAAGATATTACAAAGTCATCATATTAATCAAAGTTGGTGACAATGAGGGCCTGGACTAGAGTAGGGACATTGGGAACACAAAGAAGGGGAGAGATGTGAGAAATGTTACAGAGATAGATTGTACAGAACTTGGTGCTAAGTTGCAGATACATTTTGCAAATAATTTTAAGTGTAATCTTCACACCTGCATTTTGCACACAAAAAGAATATGGTAATGGCATAAACTAAAAATTTGGGCTAAAAAAATAACAAAAAACATCTGTTTGGTGTGCCCTCAATAACTATGAGCTTTAAGTAAAGTCCATTAGAGTCTCAAAGTACTTCAGTTATTTGGCTACACAGAATAGCGTTTTCTCTAGGTTTAGCTGAAACGGGAAGCAGTTTTTCTGTCTATACCTACCTCTAGATCTGTAAAAAGCCCTTGATTATTCTGAAGTATGGCATACATGCAATGTGCCACAGTAACTGCATGTTTCCAGTTGTGATAAGGAACTCGTCGATAGTTTTTCTTAACAGACATAATAAAACGACATAACTTTTCATAGTCAAAGCTGTAGGGAAAAGAAATTGTTATGATAGCAAAAAATTTAAATCAGTTTAAGTCAATTAAAAACTATATACTCTAAAAGAAAAATGTCAAAACATGGTTTTATACACATGTGTCTTATTATCCCTATAGCTAATTAGTATGCAAAAGGCAGGGTATGCTTTTGTTTTTGCCTTTCTTTGGATATCCAGCCCTTACCAGAGTGCCTGGGACACAGCAGTGCTTGACAAACTTTTGTTGACTAATTGATATATTAATACATCCACAAATACATACATGTATGTTTATATGCATATAAGTTAATATGACAATTACCTGTGAAATTATCTATGTGGAATTTCCCAGTGTAGGAACTTTTACCAACTTAAAGAGAGAACTATCTGTAAAGTATAGCCCTTGGAAGCTGCCCGAGGTCCAGAAATGTTAAATGATTTCACACAGTCACATCGGCAAAAAAATGTAAAATGCAGGATCTAAACCCAGTGCTCTGATGTGAAGTCAAGACTTGATCCACTAAGTAACAATGCCCTCCCTCTCTCTCCTCCTTCCAACCATCCATCCATCCACCCATCTATCCACCCATCTATCCACCCATCTATGCATGCATGCATCTATCCTTCTATGTACACAGCAGTAAACAGGATTATGGGAAGAACAGGGATCTTAGTGGTTAACTAGCATAACTCCTTCATTTTAGAGATGTAAAGAACAGAGGCCTAGGGTTTAAATATGTGCACAGCATACATCACACACACACACACACACACACACACACACACACACACACACACATATATCTAAAGTTTCATCAGTGTGTGCATTCTTTGTAACAATCTCTCCCTACCATTCCTTATCCAAATTATTAATTAGTTGCTGTGGCCATGTCTTTTATTATGAGTTCTATGTGCTCAATTAGCCTGGTCCATGAATAACGTATGTACAGTCTGTCTACAGACTCAAGTTAAAAGCTTTTCTATCTTGATAGGACCTGCTTGAGCTTGTGTCTGGCAAAGCCTCTGGGTACCCAAAGTCATTTCCATGGTGGGAACAGAGCAGTAATTTGATGGATGATATGTCATACCCACACACACACCTCTTCCTATTGCTAAAAGAAGAAAGTTACAAGGAAAAAATGTGTATATTCCTGCCTCCCTCACTTTTTTCTCCCTATAAATCAGAGTTGAAGTATAGAAACTCTGAGAAAAGTATTGGCAGAATTCCTTACTCACAGTGAGGGATCCCTAAATCAGATCTCTTAAAAATGAGGAGATATATGTGTATATGCATTTCCACTGAAAATGTATACTGGTCAATAAGATGCACCTGTCTAAATATATGTTTCTACATATATTTGAAATACACCTTACCATTTTTAAGAAGGTAGGGAAAAGCAGGCATAACTGCTTATCTAACCCTCCTTCATTTTACATGGAAATACATCTAACTTTCTCTCTTCTCTTTCTAGTAAGGGAGACTTGGCTAAACTCAAGAGACTGGCCTGGATAAACTGAGAAAAACTGGGAAAATCTAAGGTTTGCAATCTTCCAAACCAGTCTTAAAATCTAAACTAGACAACCAAGGTATGTATTAAATCAACACTGCTTAAAAATATACAGCCACAAAGCATCCAAACCCCTGTAAATCTCATCTCTGCAAGCATTTCTGCACTTTACTTGCGTTCAATGAAAACAAAGTACTGTATACAGCTTGGAAAAAGTTGTTATGTAGAATAAATATCCCAAACTATAAAATACAAAGTGGGGAATTGAATCACAAGTGTTTTCTATACAAGTACAACTCCATTTTAAAGTATGAAATCTAAATTACCTCATTTGGGGTTTCTTGGCAAAGATACCGGCGTGAATTGCCATTTCCTTCTCCAGCTCATTTGACAGATGAAGAAACTGAGGCAAACAGGGTTAAGTGACTTGCCCAGGATCACACAACTAGTAAGGGTCTAAGGCAGGATTTGAACTCAGGAACCTATGTTTTTGTGACTTCAATCCTGGTGCTCTATCAATTGTGCCACCCAGCTGCCCCTAATGTATTCTGAATAACTGTGGGTAAAGGCGGCTACACAGAGTAACTTCTACTAGGCAGTTCAGATCTATAGACTGAGAAGAAAACACTTGGCACTCACCAGTACTATAGGGATTAGTTAGATCATGGTAAATAAACTAAAAGCCTGATGGACACTGGTTCCCAAAATACAAATATTTAAAGACTACCTAAATTCCTAGCATATAAGCATCAGTTGGAAGCTATGGGGTGTGAAGGACTTAAAGATGAGAGGAAAACAAACTTTTTTTTTTAAAGAAACCGAGCTGTCATAGTTACAACTAGTGATAGAGCGACAAATATGCCTTTTTTAATGCTCGCTTTAATAGAAATATTTTATGGTTTTAAGTATAGTAAGGACTGTTAAGGGCTCCCCTGAACTTGTCTTTTTGAGTTGTCATATTTTCCAGAAAAACTGGAACCAGCCAGAGCATGCAGGAGGCTGAATGTGTCTAGGACAAAGCTCCCAACCTGAGCTGACATGATGTTTGCATCCCAAGCTGGACTGTCTGTGTGTCCTTTGGAGTTAAGACAGGCTCCAGACAGTCTGTACTATTCTACACTAGCCTTGTGAAGGTGGAAATATGTGTAGATAAGTGGACCCTTCTATTTTCATAGTCTAGAAGTCCCCAAGGAAAAAGAACGCAGCTTTTGCCATTGACTTGCTCCTCCCCTTTGGAAGGACTTTTGTCCTTTTCCCATCATCTTTACTGCACCTTTCCCCCTCCTTGTTCTCTTCCTGGTATCTTCCCCTTCCTTTGTCCCGCTGTTGTTAAAAAGGCAAACTTCTGTATGGATTGGGGAACTCTTTGCTCTGGCTTTGGGTTCTACATGCATGTTCATTTCTCTAATAATAAACCTAATTTTTCACATAACTTTCGTAAAGTTGTGATTTGCTATTGACAAGTAGAAAGTAGATATTAATTCACAGGCTGCTCTTTAAATAAACATTTTTGAAAATTAAAAAAGAGAGTATCTTAAATATTATCTTTCTTAGTAATGTCTGAAATACTGTAAGTATTGAAGATCATATTTTCTGGTTGAGCTCTGGTCTTTTCAATCAGGAAAGTCTGGAAGTCCCCTACTTCATTTAATGCGCACTCCTCCCCTGAAAGAGTACGCTAAGTTTCGCTGGGTAATTGATCCTTGGTATTATTTATCTGTTGAGCCCTCTTCAGACACAGCCTGACAGCAGCTGCCCAACCTTCATGTACAGTGTCTTACAAGAACTGAAAAGCCTCTTTCTGACTTTCCCTAGAACCTCAAAATCTCCTTTTTAGTGAGAAAAAAACCCAAAAAAACCAATAACACAGTTTTATATTTTTGAAAGTTCAGTATACAAATAATAACAAATCGAAGAGGGAGAGGTATATGGTATAAAAGGAAATTATATAATCAAAAACAACACTCAAATTTCTGAAAATGTATCTTGGAAATTCATACCAGGCTGTCCCACAGGACTGATGTACCATGTAGACAAAAATGGCAGGCCACATTTCCTCAAAAGGACTGATATCAAAATGATACCTGAAATTAGAAGAGATAAATTCACTTAGGGTACATGTAACATAAAATAAACACAAAGATGAAAAGGGAGAAGATAGATTGCCTAGTTATATATCAAATGATTTAAAATAATTACAGAATGGAATAGCTAGAAGCGCGCTTGAAGTCATCAATCTTTTTTACTTTCCCAGACAAATCCTTGAAAAAGCAAATTTCATAGGTTCCCTTAAAAACCTTGTCCAACGTTTAAGACACTACTTGATTGTTAAGATGCAATATTATCAAATGAAACCAGTCGAATGTCTTAATTTATTTACAAGATGACTGCCCATTCTTAGTCCCTTACAATTTTTTTAAACAATTTTGTTCATTAAAATGAAAAGAAAATGGCTTTCTTTTCAAAGTTAGTCTCAGAATTTTCATAATCATACATTGCCACAAAAAGAATATAATAATGTAGAAGTTACTTATTCTAATCCTATAACCCATTCTATTGTAAACTCAGTTCACATTTGTTAAATTAGATTCAAATAAATTCAATTCACAGTTATTTGCTACCTGAAGGAAGTGTGCTAGGTTCTAGTTCAAACTTTATATCTGAAACAATAGATTTTATGAGTACAAAAAAGCTCACAATTCAATTTCTTTGTGGAGGCTTGCTGGGACTGTGAAATGCATGAGGTTTTGCCATTCTTCTGCAGTACATATGCTGTGATAGGAAAGCTTTTCCATAGTTACTCGGTAAATGCACTCTGAATGGCGAATTCTTTGATACATCTGGAAGAAAAATTTCAGTAAGAAATTAATACAGTTCCATAAATGCATTCTGTAAGGCTCAGAATTTTTCATGTAAAAGATTCGCAACTTTTCATCCAGATCAAAACATTGCTCCCACCCTAATCTACAGAAACACACATTCATATATTACAGCAACTCTAGAGATCACCACACAGTTCTGTTTAAAATTTTGTTATATTCTGTTTTGTAATGTTCCAAAATATTGAGTTTTATAGAAATGAACAAGGTTTTCTTAAAAATGAGGTGGTCTGTGTCATAGATCATGCTGTCAAAAGTTGCAACACTAGGAGAAACACAAGTTATACTCTTAAAGGGCAAAGAACAAAGTAAAAAATGTGGACTAAAGGGGAAAACAACAATAACCACAACACACCATCCTTCTGATTAGAGAAAAGCTAGTCATGGGAAAGTCTTATTGATGAATGTGATATGTACATGACTAATTTATTTTCTTTTTCTACTTCCATCAATGTACTTTATATATCAACACAGCAGAGGATCATAATGTGTGTGGGAAAATAAACTTTAACTATCATCTATGAAAATATCTAAGACTTTATCCAGTGAAGATAATTCAGGACCATGCTTTATATTCCACTAAAGACACAGCAGTGAGAGTGAAAGCAGGGACTCGCCTGAGCTCTCCCCCAAATCCCTTCAAATACCTTTGAAAAGTGATTATGGACAAATTCTAGAGTGGAAGAACCAAAAAAAGGCAGAGTGATACAGATTTCCAGCCCAAGACAACCTGAAAGGCTGGCAGGAAGGGTTTGTTGCATCAGCCTGAGAGACGAGCAGGGTCTAGCACAGGTCATGCCAGTACAGACCCAGCCCCAGCAAAGACAGAGCAGGTCTCTGGGGACTGAATCACAGGCAATAGTGGTGGTTTCCAGATTTCTCAGCCCACAAACATCAGAGACAACTTAGAAGGTCAGGGGAGGATTCTGTTGGAACTAGGTGAGAGAAGCACAGTCCAGCTCAAGGTACTCCTAGGTACAGCCCTAGCCCCAGCAAATCAGGAGTGGGCCTTGGGAGTGACTGAATTGGCAGCAGCAATGGCAGCAGGAGTAGCAGCAGCAGTAGCAATGGCTGCTCCTGGAGTTATCAGCCCACAGATGAAACATCTGAAAGTCACCCATCTCAACTAATGGGAGCCAAGATGGAGAGGTAAGCAGTAAGTTCCTCTTACTCTCCCTTTTTGACCTTAAAAACTCAGAATATTGCCCCAGGAAAAATCCTGAAATAGTGGGGTCAGCAGAAAGACAAGGCACAGCAGTCTTTTAGCTTGGGAGGTTAGGGGGATCAATGGGAAAGGTCCCTCTTGCTGTGGCTGAAGGGGACCAGTAAAGGATGAGAGGTGTCCCAGCAAGCAAGGGGCAGCCCAACCTCAGCAAGTCAGTGGGACATCCTGAGCCCCAGGGTGGTGAAGCAGGCAGGTGCCAACACCAGGCACATACTAGCCAACACCACCAGCTCCAGCTCAGCAGTATGAGACCCCTACAGCCTCCAGCTGCCAACACCTGAGGCCCCCACCACACAAAACCAGTAACCAGGACCCTAGCCCCAGCACAAGAAGCCTGGGACAGTGCCCCCTGTGCCCTAGAAGCAGAGATCAATTTCAAAAGCCAGAAAAAAGGCAAAAACATGAGCAAGAAGCAACAAAGAAAAACAACGACAGAGAAGAATCTTGGTGACAGGGAACATCAAAATACAAATTCAGGACAGGACAACATTGTCAATATACCCACATCTGAAACCTCAAAGGGAAATACGAACTGGTTTCAAGGCCAAAAAGCCTTCTTGGAAGAGTTCAAGAATGATTTAAAAGTCAAATAAGAGGGGTAGAAGAAAAATTGAACAATTCCTTTAAAAATACAATTGATAGAATGGGGAAAAAGTACACTGAAGAAAACAACTTAAAAAGTAGAAATGGCCAAATGGAAAAGGAGTTACAAAAGTTAACTGAAGAAAAACAATTTGTTAAAAATTAAAATTGGGCAAGTGGAATCTAATGACTTACAAGACATCAAGAATCAGTCAAACAAAATCAAAAGAATGGAAAAATAGAAGAAAATGTAAAATGCCCCATTGGAAAAACAACTGACCTGGAAAATAGATCCAGGAGAGATAATTTAAGTATTACTGGTCTACCTGAAAGCCAAGATCAAAAAGAGCCTGGACAGTATCTTTCAGGAAATCATAAAGGAAAACTGCCCTGAGGTCTTAGGACCAGAGGGCAAAAGAGTCATCAAAAGAATCAACCAGTTACCTCCTGAAAGAGATCCTGAAAATTTCAAGGAATATCGTAGCCAAATTCCAGAATTATTAGGCCAAGGAGAAAATACTGCAAGCAGCCAGAAAGAAACAATTCAAATACCATGGAACCACAGTCAGGATTATGCAGGACTTTGCAGCTTTTATATTAAAAGATTGGAGGGCTTGGAATATGATATTCCATAAGGCAAAGAAGCTTGGATTACAACCAAGGATCAACCACCTAGCGAAACTGAGCATGCTCTTTCAGCAGAGGAGATGGACATTAAATGAAATAGGGGACTTCCAGACTTTCCTGATTGAAAAGACCAGCGCTCAACAGAAAATATGATCTTCAAATACAAGACTCAAGAGAGGCATAAAACGGTAAACAAGAGAGGAAAAAAACCCCCACGTTGTTCAATAAGGGCAAACTGTTTACATCCCTACATGGGAAGATGATACTTGTAACTCTTGATATCTTTATTACAACATTTAGAAAGCACATACATAGACAAAGGGGGTGGGTTTAAAATGACTTTGATGTGATGATAAAAAAAACCTAATTAAATGGTGAAAAGGGACTGTAATGGGAGAAGAGGAAAGGAGGAGGCAGAAAAGAGTAAATTACATCACATGAAGAGAGAGGCACAAAGACCTATCACAGTAGAGGAAAAGAACAGAGGGAGATGAGCATTGTTTGAACTTTACTTTCATCAGAATTGGCTCAAGGAGGGAATAACATACTCAGAATATGAAAGAACCAACATCTTACACAGTATACCAAAATAAAATCAAAATGGGTACACAGTTTAGATATAAAGGCTGATAGTATAAGCAAAATGGAAGCACAAGGAATAGTTTACCTGTCATATTTATGGAGAATGGAAGAATTTATGACCAAACAAGAGATAGAGAACATTATGAAATGAAAAATGGATAATTTTGATTACATTTAGTTGAAAAGCTTTTGCACGAACAAAGCCAATGCAACCAAGATTAGGAGGGAAGCAGAGAACTGGGAAAGAATTTTTATAACCTGTCTCTGATAAAGGCCTCATTTCTAAAATATATAGAGAATTGAGTCAAATTTATAAGAATACAAGTCATTCTCCAATTGATAAATGATCAAACAATATGAACAGGCAGTTTTCAGATGAAGAAATTATAGCTATCTATAGTCATGTGAAAAAATGCTCCAAATCACTACTGATGAAAGAACCACAAATCAAAACAGCTCTGAGGTACAACATCACAACCTAACAGACTGGCCAATATGACAAAACAGGAAAATGACAAATGTTGGAGAAGATGTAGGAAAACAATGATCCAACCATTCTGGAGAGCAATTTGGAACTATGCCCAAAGGGCTATAAAACTGTGTATATTCTTTGACCCAGCAATAGCACTTCTAGGGTTGTATCCCAAACGGGAAAAGGACCCAACGTGTACAAAAATAAGGATAGCAGCTTTTTGTGGTGGCAAAGAACTGGAAATTGAGGGGATGCCCATCAAGTGTGGAATGGCTAAACAAGCTGTGGTATATGAATATAATGGAGTACTATTGTATTATAAGAAATGATGAGCAAGTGGACTTCAGAAAAACCTGGAAAGACTTGTATGGACTGATGCTGAGTGAAGTGAGCAGAACCAGGACAACATTGTACACAGTAACAGCCACATTATGTGAGGACTGACTCTGATAGACTTATCTCTTCTTAGCAATGCAAAGATCTAAGACATCTCCAAAAAACTCATGATGGAAAATGCTGTCCACATCCAGAAAAAGAACTGTGGAGTCTGAATGCAGATCGAAGAATATTATTTGCTTTCCCTTTTTGTTGTTGTTTTTTTTGTTTCCTCTTTCTCATGGTTTCTCCCATTGGTTCTAATGACTAAAGTGAAAATAGGTTCAATATGACTGTATATGTACAGCCTATATCAAACAGGGGTGGGAGGAGGGGAGAGATGGGGAGAAAATTTGGAACTCAAAATCTTGTGGAAGTGAATGTTGAAAACTAAAAATAAATAAATTAATTTAAAAAGAGCTACTTCACCATTATTATGTCCTAAATCCGTCAGAGAGACAACACTTATGCAAACATTTTTGTTTGTTTGTTTGTTTTTGGTTTTTTTAGGCAATTGGGGTTAAGTGACTTGCCCAGGGTCTCATAGCTAGTAAGTGTCAAGTGTTTGGTCTGAGGCCAGGCTGACTTCAGGGCCAGTGCTCTATCCACTGCGCCATCTAGCTGCCCTGGAACATTTTTTAAAAGATGAAAGTCAAGCACCAGGCTTCCTACTTTCATGACTTAGTAAAGAGCCTCTGAAGAACAAAAGCCTCAAAGAAGCACTGAGTTTAAGTGCTTCTAAGTATCAAAATCTTAAATTCAGTCTCAACCTCAAACCATATTTATCCCCAAACTAAGAATTACGCTTATCTTTTGAAAGAGCTCTCTAGAAAAGAAGCAGAAGGAGAAATGAATAGAAATCAAGTGTTTTCAAAAGCAGGAAGAAGGAAAAACACAAAGACAAAAAACCACTAGCTCTGGAAGGTCAGCCTCTACAATCAATTGCTTTTGTAATTTGCTGAACATGAGAAGTGTTCTAGGTATCCCAGAGTCCCAATGCTCTTAGAACACATAGTGTTTGTTTATTACTAAGTCTTGTGGAGCAAGTAATTTAAGCAATTACTAGACCAGAACAGAGGAACAACTGTATACAGATACTTGCTGTGAGTAGAATTTTAAGGAGGAGCTGCATATAACAACTGCCTGTGGCAAGCTGAATTGACATAAAAGGAAACTGTAACGTTCTTTGATGGGATATTAAAAGTAGTTTAGCATGAATGATGCTGGACTAGGGTCAGAGCTCACCTAAAAGGTACTAGAAGCATCTTCTCCCGATACTGTGTTTTTTAAGTGACAACAAGTATTTAAACTATATAGTTGGTAAGCAAAGCAAAGGTATCATACATCTAAATTTACAATGCAAAGCAGCATATATCACATTTCTGTCAAACATAATAAACTAGTTGTCATCAAACAGTTAATAACATGAACACAATTTTAATTATAATTAATAAGACTAATGTTATTCCTTGAGGTTAAAGAGCAGGTTATTAAAGGAGCAAGGAGCGGAAAGAAAAGAGAAAGGATATTTAACTTAATTACACGCCAGTCTCAAATAATAAGCTCTTCTGTTTGGCATTTAAAGCCCTTCAAAACCTTAACCCTTCTTACCTTTTCAGTTTTCTTCTATTTGACTCCCCTACCCCAATGCATGATTCTACTACACTGGGATTACTTCTCTAGGTTCCATTTCCACACTTTTGCACTGGGTGAAATATTCTGCACCTTTGAGTTGTTTTTTTTTTAAGACTTAGCTCAAGTCCCACCTTTTCCAGAAGGCCTTTCTTTATCTTTCCAGTTGCTAGTGCCTTCCCCTCTTAGATTACCTTGCTTCTACCCTATATGTATATCTCGTATATCCTTAGTTATTCATACACTGGAGAAGGAAATGGCAAACCACGATATATAAAATCAGCAGAATTTAAGCAAAGACTAACCTGCCTGTTACGTTCTCTTGGAGACATACTGAACAACTAAAACTTCCTCACCTTTTCGGTCTGTGACAACCAATTTAGGTGTTCTATGGGAATGAAACACTTTCTCCCATCTCCCATGCAAACTCAGAAGTTTTACCACATGAGTACACAGGTCAAGAGTCCCCCTTTTACCTATTCTATATTTTCTATTTCAAAATAAGAAAGGCAAATGAACCAAAATTCTTCCAGTGAAATCTCAGCTTTATATGGCAAATAAAAATGTGTCTCTGGGCATCTGTTAACTAAAAAAACCAGGAGAAACTGAATTATGCTGATATAACAAGTTAAGTTTCCTTAAAAATGACTGCTCTCAAAATATCTCTGGTACTAATCCCTTAAAAAGTCTTTGTGTATGTGATGAAACAAAAAAAAAAAAATTGAATCTTATGGTTAAGTGATAAATTGTTAAAAAAAAGGAATAATACACTGAATAATATTTTAACATCTAAATAACAAGATATGTAACAGTATTCCTATATTGCCTTACTAAAAGACTGTACATAAAATCTTCTGAAAGAGGGATGAGGAGTTGGGCCCCACTCACCTAGAATCAGGATTCTAATGAAGGGGCAAAGATCAAATGTTTATGCAAAAGTTTATACAATTAAGACTTTGTAAGAAAGTGGTAAAGGATCTGTATAATCTTTCTCTGAAAGTGTTCTATATGGGAATGTTTTTGAAGACAAGGTATTGCATCAATTAATACTTAAGTGACTACATAATTTGAGACGTACCAAGAAATGGCAGTAAAGCTATGAGTCTATCATATGAAAACTACCTGTCATTTAAACTGAATCTAAACAAAATCACAGCTTCCACTTAATCCAGGAAAAATTGAGTCAATTCTCTACCTAAATCAGTTAAGCCAACTATCTAATATATTACAGGCTAGTAGTTTTTCAGCTTTTTTTATTTAAACCTCCTCTACTGGTGTTATGTATACAAAGTCTAAAAACTGCATTTCTTCAAATTAAATTTGTTCAGGTGAAAATTCTAAGAAAAAAAGAAAGAGAAAACATTTTGGTAATCAAGGTGACAATTCTAAGTAAAAGGCATTAGTTACTAATAATCAATTAACACATATTAGGATCAGCTGTCTCCTGAATAAGACTCACAAAGGAAGAAAAGAATTACTAGATACATTGTGATCTCCCCAGCAGGAGGAATATCTATATATAATGAAATCAAAGCTGCAAGACTTCTAATCATTCCTACTTTCTATTGTTTTTAAGTATGTGTTCAAAAGAGAAATGAAAACTTATTTCATGGAAAGTCTACCATATTCAGCACTTTTTGTCAACCTCTTCTTAAGTGATCCTTTGCTACTTCTCTATCTGATACCTTTACTGCAGTTGGCTTGTCGTCACTTGCCTCTAGTCTCTGCCTTTACTTCACATTCTTTTTTCCCTCGTCCACTTAATATGCTTCTTTCTAAAATTCAATTTATTCAAATTCATTCCAATTTCACTTCCTTCAGATATTACACTTTCCAGGTAAAAGATAATAACACATATTTATTACCTAAAATGCATTTAAGGTATTTGACTTCATACATTCTTTTATGTCTTTCCAAATATGATACTAAGATAAAATACTGAATCTTTCCCATGATAAGGTTTCTTGACTAAATTTTTCCTTAAAAGTTGAAGCAGTAATACATTCCTCCACAAGAGGGCACCACACCAACATCAAGTAGAATTTACACTATTTCATTCTAATGCTAACATTATGACATATGAGTTACTATATTTTGGTCTTAAATATTATTCATATAACTTAGATTATGACCTAGAGAATATTTTCCTACTTAAATTGTCTTTTTTTTTCATCTTGAACTATACATGGAACTAATAATTTCTGGCTTCCCATAAACTTTCTTTTTTCTTGGGTTTCACACTTTGCAGGATACCTAAATAAAGATATGGGTATTATGCTCATTTGATTGAAGTAAATTTTATAATATTCCTGTGATTATGAAATGTATAAAATAATGAATCACTCTAATCAACAGAGAAAATACAATTGGCAAATACTTGAAAACTTTACTTCTATATAAGGATTTTTCAATCAATAGTGGTTTCAAGAAAACATTTTGAGAAATATTACTTACATTAGCACAGTGTAAGGCTAAAGCACAAAAGACTGCAAACATTTTAAAGTTGTTTTCATCAGTTTTGGAGAAGGCACTTCCACTTATTTTGTTTACCATCTGTACAACGCCGATTACACTCCCTCGACTCACAATAGGCATACACAAAATATTCCGTGTAGTATAACCTGTGTATAGGTCTACTTCCCTGAGGAGTTGTGAAAAAATACAAACAGAAAAGAAAATTATTAACATGCCATCGATCTAATAAGTCTTAATTTAACAACACTGCTATTATTCAAAAGAGCTAAGAAAATATTAGCACTGAGTATGGAGGCACAATCAGCAAAAAAAAAAAGAAACTATTCAGGTGAAAAATCAACTGGTGTTCAAAGGCAAGCATATTAGATTCAGCGCAAAAAATAACTTTACAATCTTAAATATTTCATTAAAGCTATTTTTTTTCTTTCTGCCAAACCAATTTGTTTCTTTTTTTTTTTTAAGAGTTTTCTAGGGAAAAAGTCAAGCGCCCATCTACTCCAACTGCAGAGCTACAGTATGTTAGAGAGGCAGAAGGAAATGATATTTTCTGAAGAAAAAGATGGTAGCACTTATGAAATAGCTATTACGTACCATATACATGCTAGCTGCTTAAGACATGACAGAATTAGAATAGGAGTTTCCGTTTGATCAAGGGGATCAACATGTATAAAAGATAGACAAAATCAAAGGCATTTCTGCTGGGGAAAAGAATTGCTAGTTTAGGGGATTAGGAAACATAGATGTCATGTTTAAGTTAAGCCTTGAAGAAAACTTGGCCTACAGGTATCTTCAAAGCCCAAGGGACAGCCATTGCAAAAACATAGAGGGGAGATATGTAGCACAGCCCATGAGAAACTGGAAGGCTAATGTGGCAGTTTCAGAGGTTGCATCAAGTGGAATAATGGGACAATAAGGTTGAAAGGATACTTGGGACGAGGATACAAAGGGCCTTAAATTTCAGAGGAGTTTCTATTTTATCCTAGAAACAAAAGGGTGCCACTGGAGTTAACTGAATAGGGTAGTGACAAGGTCAAACTTGTATTTTAGGAGAAATACTTTCTATAAGTGGAAGATGGAGTGGAGTGACAAGAGACTTAAGGCAGTGAGAAAAATTAGCGGACTATTGCTATAGTTCAAGTGAGAGATGCTGAGGGCCTAACTTAAGTTTCTGGTAGGGATGGAGGTGAGAGATGTTGTGGTCATAGAAAAATGATAAAATGTAGCAACTAATTGGATATGTGGGGTAAGAATAAGGAGCAAAGAATGCCATAGAAGCTGCAAATCGGGGTGACTGGAATGATGGAGATGCTCTTGAAAGAAATAGGGAAATGTGGAATGTGGGTGGTTTTGAGGAAAAGATTTTGGAATGTTGTTTTGGAAATTTTAATTTTGGGGCGCCTAAAATTATTTGAAACATCTAATAGTGGTGGCAAATTAGAATTCAAGAGATACCAATAAAGACAGAAAGAAGAGATAAGATGACCTAGACAGAAATCCAGAGATAGGGGGTATTAAAAGGATGGTGACACTAATAAAAAGATGAAAAGGGAATAGTCAAACAGTAGAAAAGAGAAGAAGAAAGGAAGGGAAGAAAGAGAGAAAAAGAGAGGGAAGGAAGGGAAGAGAGAAATGAAAGAAGAGACGGGGGAGATAGAGATACATGGCAACAGAGAGAGGTGCCACAAAAATCCAAAGATGAGAGAGTATATGGAAGGAAGTGTGATCAATAGTGTCAAATGCTGCACAGAGCTCAATAAGGGTGTAGATTAAGAAAAGACCATCAAATACGACAACCAAGAGATCTTCGGTAATTTTGGAAAGAGCAATTTCAGTTGAATGATGTTAAAAGCCAGACTGCAAAGTGTTGAGAAGTGAGAAGAAAAAGTAAAGGAAATGAACACAGACACAAGTTCCTTCAGAAGATTAGGGCATCATTTTTAGAAAAGTGTGGTATATTCCAAAGATATATCTGGGACATAAACTTTGCCACTAATTTGCTTAATTGCTGGTTCAGCTACTGTAAGCTTCAGATACTCTGTTGGTAAAACAAGTGTAATAATCCCTGACCCAGAGATATGACAAAATTGTTACAGATACTAGAAGAACAACAGAATAATAGACTATTAAGAGCTAGGAGTGTCCTAAGAGACCATCTAGCCCAAATTACTCATTCTGCAGCTGAGGACATATGCCCAGAAGGTGGTAAAGTCCTTATAGAGGACTGCAACCTATCTCAATCAGTTAGGATGGAAAGGTTGGGGGTTTTTTGTTTGTTTGCTCATTTTGTTTTTAGTAAAAATTAGGGTTTTCTTGTTAAAGAACTTAGTGTTTTAAGGACCTGTGATTTCCTTGGTGTGAGCTCACTCCTAGCACTTATTTTTCTTAACTTCGTTGGGCATCACAAATTGCTGCAGCCCAAACAATCCAGCAGCCAACCTTCTACTGATGAAACCTGAAATTTCCTTAACTCGTCACCAGCCAAGAGAGATGCCAGCCGGCTGTCAATCTGATCCTCGCAGTGAGAACTTGACACTCCTGCTGCGAGGCAATGGCCTGGCTTAAGAGAACCCAAACTTACCTCTACGACATAATAAGGTGTCAGATATCAGAACAGCACTCTGGTGCAGACATTTCAAATCATATTGTTAAAATCATTAAACTTGTTTGAATCTCCTTTTTGTTGTTTTGGAAACTGGATTAAAAATCAAGACATGTGGCAAAGAAACTCTGAAGCAATTTTTTAGTGTTACTTTTTTTTTCTTTATAGATCCTGTCCAACAGCAGTTTAAGAGACAAAGTTCTGTGTTCACTCTTGTTTTTAAAATGCTTAACTAGATAAAAGTTAGGTCTGTATCTCTAACAGATATACATTTTTGGAGAGGCAACACGGCTGCTGAAGGGGAGGCCTCAGTCAGGATAATATGATTCAAATCCTACCCTCTAAGGTGGTGATGTCAAATTCAAATAGAAACAAGGCCATTGAACAATACAAAAAGAGATCTGCTGGTTGCATATTGACTTAGAAAACCATATAATAACGTTACCTCTGTTGTATTGTTTTTTTTTAATTTGTCTTGTTAAATATGTCCTTATTACATACATTTTAATCTGGTTCCTGCAGCACCTGAAAGTGTTGCTGGTTGATGTGATTTGCAGGTCACTTGTTTGAAGCCTCTGTTTTATGGAACATTAACTATGCGACCCGGGCAAAGCATTTCACAGTTACCCAGAGAAATTTCTAAGATTCTTAAGTTGTAGGAAAATTGCTGATTTGCTTTGATAGAGGGAATTTCCTAATTAGTAGTTCTCCACAACCATGAAATCACAGGCACAGTATCCCTGATCCAAAACACTTTTTTTTCCTGATTGTTAAAAAATTAATTAATTGATTAATTAGTTAATTAATTTTTAGTTTTCAGCATTCATTTCCACAAGATTTTGAGTTTCAAATTTCGGCTCCATCTCGCCCCTACCCCTACCCCAACCCCAACACAGCATGCATTCTGAATACCCCTTCCCCTAATCTGCTCTCCCTTCCATCACCCTTCCTTATCCCCTTTTATTTTCCTGTAGGGCAGGATAGATTTCTATACCCCATTGCCTGTATATCTTATTTCCCAATTGCAAGTAAAAACAATTTTTAACATTTATTTTTAAAGCTTCCCCAAAAATATTTTGGAAAAAAGGCTAAATTGATTTGAAAGTAGAGATATTAATTCTAACTTGTTAAAAGGATATTCTTGCCCTCTTTTCCCTTTGGCGAATGATATATTGCCAGAAACTATGTCTTTTATTAAGTGGTAAATAAAAATGCTACTTTGAGAAATATATCCAATCTGAATTTTCAAATAAATAAACTTTTTAAAAAGCAATTACTTATTGTTATGTGCTTTACAATCTTATTTATCAGGACTATTTAATAGCATGGATTTAAAGCCTTTTTGAAACTAAGTGGATTAATGCTGGCTCTAGTTCTTTCATAACTGTGGAAATATAATACAGAATGATGAAGGCGCTCAGTGGACAAAGAACTGAACTCACATCTAGCTGCAAGAAGACTGAATGAATCTTGCCTCAGACACTTTTTAGCTACATGACCCTGTGCAAATCAAGTAATTTTGCTCAGCCTCAGTCTCCTCATCTGTAATATCATCAAAGGATAATAAGAGCACCTATTTCACAATGTTGTTGTAAGGATCAAATAAGACACCTAAGTAAAGCTCTCTGTGAACCTTAAAGTGTTACATGAATGATAGCTAGTAAAGCACTGTAATATACTTTACATAATTACAGCTAGCATAAATGATACATTAACTGGTAAGGCTTTGTATCATTTAGGTTATGACAACCTATTGCCCATTCTTGGCACCATTTAAGAAGAAAAGTATCTATGTTCTGCCAAGCGTTTCTTACCTGTTAAAGCGTGGGTCTGCATAGGCGTCTGGGATGTTAAGGACCTCCCCTGTTCTAGCCACCTGACCAGCTATTCCTTTATCAATTGAAAATCTGCACACAGATAAAAAACAGGCATGCTAATCAGTAAATGCACACACTAAGCCTCAAAACAGGTTACCAGGATTAAATGCTAATAAACTTAAACATAAAAGGCTCTCAAACCTGTGTTCCAATTATTTTTAAAACACAAAAAATACATAGAAATTACTTCATAATCTTGTTACATAAAAGGCAATGTTTAAAATGTTTTAAGTTTGCTAAATTGCAATATGATATTGTGTGACTTACTTAGAGGATCATTGACCTTAAAATTTTCTCTTTTGCCAAAATCACATTGCATTTTTATATCACTTTTCTAATGATTTATTTCCATTACAATTTGCTGTTTACACCTGTTCCTTTTGAAGAACAAGAACTGTGTTTTAAAGAATCTTCCATAAGAAACTGTCATAAAAATGTAAAGTTAGTGCAGAGCCATAAATCCAGTGAATGCTCAATAAATACTTGTGATGACACTATTTACCAATTCATTTGTATGTTGTCTCCCCAATTAGAATGCCAGTTTCTTAAGGCAAAGGGCTGTGTTTTGCCTTCCTTTGTATCCCCACAATTTAGTTCAGTGCTTGACACATGGAAAATGCTTAATTAGTAACTGCTGACTGACTGCCTGCCTCCCTGCCTGACTGTTTGATTTATGAGTATAAAGTAGTCAGAACTTGGTCTTCTCATTCCTATAACGGTGTGGCAGCGTATTGCACTATCTAAAAATATCAAAGGCTCATTCGCGATTTTTAGGAGTAGAAAAGGAAAATTTCAATATGCATAACACAACAAATTACATAGCAAATTACAATGAATTCAAAGACCATGCTGCCATGAAAATCTTATTTGGGGGACATTCAGAAGCATGGTGAATTATTGCACCCACAGTCATAACAAGTCCTTCACATGAATTCCTTATCCTTCCCAAAATTGGAACCAAAAAAAGACAATACAGGGTCAACGTAACCTGTCCCATTCCTGGCAGGCAGTAAATTGTCCAGAGATTGACACCATCCTGCAAGAATTGCTCCAGTGAATACTAGCCTGAGCACATGAGAAAATCAACTAGACGACCATCACTTCCATTTCCTTCCTATCACTCATTACAAATTCTTCAACATACATAACTAACTCTCACCTGCATTTGGAAAGGAACAACCAGGTCTAATTATGATGTTAACACAGAATTCTGTGGGCACTGATGAGAAAAGTCCTTAAGGACTTTGAAATCATTACACAGAGAATAACTCACTTTTTATGTCTCAAATATATTTGGACATAAAAACTCACAAGTATTTAGCACTAAATACATTCCAATCATCATATTGTTAAGATTATTTTATTACTGTAGTTATGTGACAAATACTAAGTAGTACTGGTTTCAGAAGTGAGGTATGAGAACTGCATTATTAGCCTTACACATAGTAAGTGATGCTAAAGGTTTATTAAATGGATTAGTGTCATCCAATTGGAAACTTAAATTGAATTAGCCGAGAATGAATTTTTACAATTTGACATTTGCAATAAAATAAATGGCACTAAGTGCAAGTAAATTATATAAAATCTTCTACCTGTATTATTACAGAGATAACACTTATAAATTATGTCATATAAAAACAGTTATGGTTAAAAGAAGCCATAAATAAAATAATAATATAACACTTTCAAAACATCAATAAGCAAACAAAACACCATAGTTTCACATGACAAAAACCATGAAGGTAATTTCCATTTTGTCATTTTGCTATTTTTTACAAAGGAATTTTTTGTTGGTGATTATGAAGTCTTCAATTACAATTAAAATTTACTCAGAAGCATTCTTCAGATTGTTCTCCCAACAAGGCCTGCAATGCATGCAGACATAAAAATAGTGTGATGTATTGCTAAAAGAAAAAACAAGTTAAATGAGATTTATATTCTATCTGAAGACATCAACACTCGGACTTTAAACAAATGACTCAATTAACAATTGTGTTCAGTAGTTTCATTTGCATCCAACTCTTCATCACCCCACTGGAGTTTTCGTGGCAAAGATATTGGAGTAGTTTGCCATTTCCTTCTCCAGCTCATTTTATATATGAGGAAACTTAGGCAAACAGAGTTACGTGACTTGCCCAGGGTCAAAGTCTGGTAAATCTGGTAAAATGTCTAGGAAATGTCTGAGGCTGGTTTTGAAATCAGGTCTTTTGACTCCAGCCCTGTATACCATCTAGCTGCCCCTCACTATACCTGAACTGTTCTTTAGAAGTGGCTAAAAGATTAAATTATAAAATCATGATCAAGTGAACATAGGCTTGTCTTTGCTTTGTCTGGTTTCCTAATCCTATAGTGTATGGAAGTTAGCTAGCCAATTTTCATTATGCTCCAGGGACATAGGTTTGCCAAGAGGAATCTAGTTTACTGGGGGCAAAAAGTACATTGGGATTTGGTAATTACCATAGCACTCTTTGTTAATGTGAGAAAAAGAAAAGATTAAAATGAATTAAGAGTTGTATATATTGAATCCTTTATAATTTTGGGTTATGCTAGAGTGCTCCACATGTGATCTAACTTGAATGGGGGAAATTTGCACGTCTGATCCACTGATCTGCAATGTTGTACCAGATGATTTCTATAAGCAGTAATCCTACTATGGTGGCCATTTATAGGTTAGGTTATTGATGATTATTCCAATTTCAAGTGTAAATTTTATATGCATATGTATATGTATATGACATGACTGGCTGCAATGGCTGTTCAGTGATATGAACCAGTTAACTTAATGCCCAAAATAACCGCATGAGCCCCACTGTATTTGGTTCTTTGGTGATAGAGAGACAGCTGAGGAGACACTCAGTGTTGGTGCACCCTTATCAAACATCTCCATGCTCTTCTATATGGAAAATGCACAAGAGCAGACAGGGTGCACCTGGACCTACCTTGGCACACTAGTAAGTTTTTCCACCATGATTTCCAAAAGGACCGCCTCCGGAAGAGGGCATTTCCAGGAGTGACGTTATTGCTTCAGAGAGGCTGTTTCGATGGCACTGCAATGTCATTCCCAGAAGTACTACCTTCTGGAGGCGGGTCCTGGTGGGAATGATATCACAGTATGACAAGTATTGTCAGCATACCTGTGAATAGGCACAGAAAGCGGATAACATAATACCAGAACATCTGTAATCAGAGCCTATTTGCTTTTTTACTTCACTGCATACCTTATTTCTTTGGTCTTCTTAAAGACAGGCTTCCCTTCATTTTCCTCCCCAATGTCAAAAAGGTCTGAATATAATTCTTTGTTCTTATGGTCTACCTGGAATAGTGCACAACGATCTGCATTCACCAAGTTTTTTGCATATATCTAAAGAAAAACAACAAAACAAAGATCAGACATCATTAAACTCCTCCTGTAGGACTCCTGCGACGAACCCAAGGCATTATTTAAATAAGTGCTGACCAGCCTTTGCCCTGGAACTAGGGGAAACATGGACCAATCGAAAAAGCTTTCAATTTGGATTCATAAGACTTTAGTTCAAATCTGGACTCTGCCATTAACAACCCACCTGACCACAGGTAAAGCAAGGGACTTAACTTCTCTGCACTTCATCTCCTCATCTGGAAAATAAAGAGAATGACCAGCCTCTCTAAGGCTCCTTTCCAAGTCTTAATCCATGATCTTATGATTTCTAAGTGGCTTCCACAACTTCTCAAAAGTAATTCGCATTAAATATTTAGCATACACAGAAATAATCACTTTTCTTAAACTGACCAGTAATCTCAGATCTTTTACATTTCTATTCATTTGTTTGAATTAAATAGCAGATTTAAAAAAGGTGGAGGAAGGAGGAACATTTAATTAGAATCCAGTCCTTCTTCAGAATTACTATTGTTCACAAAATTCAATTCTTTTTCATCTATTTCCTATTCCTCCTTAACACATATTTCTTACCTCCCAAGGCTACTTCTAAAACCCTTACCCAGTCATATCTTTTCCTTTGACATCTGACTCTTGTCCTCTCTCAATTCTTTGTCATCTACTAATACTGACCTCCTGAACAATTTCCTTAATTATCATCACCTGATTTATAGCCTCTCAAATTCTTCCTCAAAACATCCTCAGAGATTTCAGTACCTATACCGTTGATTCTTAACAGTTGGTTGTCACCATTTCTTCAATTTCTCAACTCTTAGGACCATTTATTTTTCAACTACCCAATCGGGCAGTCCTTTTTCACTCTTGTTGTGATCTTCAATCCTTGAATTCTTCCCTATTTTCCTATTCTACCCTCACTTCCCTCCCTACTCTGTCAATCATTTCAATAACATCAGTTCTTCCCCCTTTGAATGCCTTGGCCTTCTGCTAATCTAGCCAAGATAACTTTTAATTCTAAATAGCATCCACTAATATTCGGAAACACAAGTAATACCTAAAAGTATCAACTAAATAGTTAGCCAATTCAATTAATCTGACTAAACTGAATAAATCTCTTGTGACCCTGAAAAATAATGGGAATGTCTTCATGGACTATAAATTTTAGTAATTTAGCCCCTAGTGTATCAAGTATGGACCTTATCATCCTGATCTGTGTTTTAGTATTTTGCCTGATAAAATATAGCAAGGAGAACCTAAGATCCTAAGATTTAATCAACTACTCTCCCAATTTACCCCAAAGTGTTCATCCTTGGCTATTATAGAATCCTTGGTTGACTGGTTGTTCTTTTATTCTAGAAAAGAACCAAAATGATATTACTATGTTAGGGTTAAGGAACAGTATATCCGACTGTAGCTGATCAGAGCTTGGAATACTCTACCACAGATTAGGCACAAATAGTCCATATGAACATTTGGAGTGGAGATATCTCCAAATTCGCACATCTCATGTTTCTTCTGAGCTACCGCAATTCTGCTTCACTCACAGAACGCAGTGCCTTCTTGATGCAGGCATGCCATGGTGGGTGGTCCTTTGTCAGCACAACCCACATCATGCAATCAATTCCAAAGTTCTTCAGAGACAGAATTCTTACCTTACATATGAATATATGTAAATGACAACATTTTCCCAGCTTAAAGGAAAGAGATCTCACATTGAGAGAAACAGTGGCAAGAATTAATTTTTTTTTAAAGGCAACTGGATTTAAGTGACTCGCTCAAAATCACACAGCTACTAAGCGTTATGTGTCTGAAGCTGCATTTGAACTCAGGTCCTCCTGACTTCAGGGCTGGTGCTCTATCCACTGCATCACCTAGCTGCCCCTTCAAGAATGATTTTTAGGACTTCTATGGTGGACAGGAATAAAACAAACTGAAATTTTGGTTTAAGGCCAGATATTCACTGATCTCTTATAAGATTATTTTTTAGAAAGATCACAAGTAGGGGAAATTCTTTAAAAACACTAGAAGGAATTTTAATTTGTAACAGTTTTAATTATATACTTGGAGAAATCTCTTTCCCTGTTTAAATAAAGATCACCTTGTGAAAATCAGAAAAAGGAGAAGTAATGCATTTTGACCATAAAGAAGTTAAAGGATGATTAATACTTAACTATTATGATTTAATAATATGACTTAACACTTAACTTTTATTGTGCAGCTAGGTGGTACAGTAGATAAGAGTGCCAGGCCTGTAGTTAAGACCTGAGTTCAAATGCAGTCTCAGACACTTATTAACTGTGTAATCCTCAGCAAATCACGTAACATCTAACTGCCTCATTTCCTTTATCTGTAAAATTGGGATACAAATAAAACATACCTCCTAGCATTATTGTGAGAATCAAATGAAATATTTATAAAGCCCTTAGTCTGGCACATCGTTGGCAATACATAAATGTTGGCTAGTTATCATCATCATCATCATCATTGTTATTATCATTATTATTGTTGTTGTTAAAAACTAACTTCATTCCACCCCCTAAATCTCTTCCTTTTTCCTTTATTCTCTTCTTTATTCCTCCCCTGTCTGTATTTCCTTCAAGTAGATTAGGTTACAGATATTTTGTTTAATAAAATGAATAGGAAATCTTGAACATCTGTGGCTACCAAACTCTCAGAAATCTACACTGATAAATGATAAGAATTAACTAAAGTATCTTCAGTGGGAGACAGAAAGGATTCAAGATAAGGGGAATACAGGAATTCATACCTAATCCATGCATGAACCACAAAGAAGAGAAGGGATGGCTAGAATCAAGGGAGAGAATTGCTTGGGCACACTTGCTCCCTTCATTTTTCAAAACTGTTCATTTCATTTTATTCTGTTACTCTCCATAATTTTATGAATGACTTAGATGAAATTGTAGCAATATGTTTATATAAGGCAGGGGGGAAAATTAACATATTGGATGTAAGAATTAGGATAGAAAAAAGATCCTCATAAATTATAATGATGGAATAAATTTAATAATAACTAATTTAAGAAGAACAAATTTCTACTACATTATACTGTCTTGGCTCAGATATATATCAGACCACAAGGCTCCGGCACACCCTGGAGATTCTATGATTCATTATGTATAACAACATCTCCCTTTTCCACAGGTCATACTGTGTGGCCTCTATCACTCACAATAGAACTGTAAAACCAAAGACGGGCAGGAAGGATGGTTATGAGGAAAATTGCTATCAAAAAACTCATTAATTATATTATGGAAGAACATCCTGCAAACATCCATAGGACAGAGGACTCCAAATATCTTGTGAAATAAAGCTTCCTGATTTAATAAACTCGAAAGATGGCAAACTACAAGGGAAATAGCAAGGCATTTCAGTTAAAAAAGAGGGAAGAAACAAAGAATCAAGCAACAAAAGTTCTGGTTTTTTTAGGTGAAGCAAATAGGCGCATACATCTCAACAGAACTTGAGGACATTTACATAAAATATGGTACATTACAAAATGATATTAACAAGGACACCTGTAATCAAGAAAAAGGTTATATTATCTTCAGAGAAACTAATAATCCATTTCTTTAGTCTAAAATTTATGTCTTTACAATGGAGTAAAAATAATATGTCCCTCTGGAAAAGCTTGGCAATAAGTAGAGTGCTCTATTTTTTATATAGCCTCTCTACAATGGAATGCCAAAAGCAGGTGTTACAAAAACAGATAAAAGAGAGAGTGTCTGGTGGGTCTGTGTGTTTGTCACTTATGCTGAGAGTAAAGAGCAGAATTACGTTCCACGCACTAGAAATAAAATGTAGTTATGTTGCTATGTCACTGTCAATAAAGCAACAGGATATTAAAGAACAAAGAAAAAGTATTAATCATAGCTTTAAAAACTTTGGAAGGAAAGCTTCCTTTTTAAGGGAATAGTGGTTCTTTGCTATGACACCCAAAGCTCTTAAAATGTGTACCTTAAAAAACTCTACAGTGCTAATTAAGAAGATCTAAAGCTCTTGTCTGACACTGAATCCCACCCTCTTTAGCACATTATTACGAGGTTAGGAAGGCTTTTAAAATTTCAACATTCTAAAATACCTTATGCATTTGGCCTAACATGCCATGACTTTGAAGTCCATGTAGTTCAGGGAGACACGAAAAAGGCTTTATTGTAAAGATGCTGCATGGCAGTCCTGAATATTATTGTAATGAACTGATACTGTGCCATCTCACCGGAAACTCTGAGACTGTCTCTGAGGAAAGGGCAAGAATGACTGCTGATGGTCTTGGAGTGAAGGATGCTGACAGTCTGCACAAGGGGAAAGCTTTGAGGAGGGGAACATGGTGGAAAGCTGAGGTATTTTAAGTGACAAGGTGTGAAAAATGCTACATGCCACCATGGAACACTGTCCATGGCTCTTCTTTTGAAATGTCAGTTAGCTTTTGGGAAGGAAAAAAGTAGATTAATATTGGTCCATGATCAAACAGATTCAGATTAGAGTACACAACAACCTCCATTATCAGGACCTGCAAGGTAGCAAAGTAGTAAAGGGATCAACACTAGAAGGACCAAATTTAAGAAGAGATCAAAGGACTGAGCATATTTTTTGCATAAACTAACATGCCTAGTGCTTCCAATTATATTTTTGAGAAAGGGGTAGTGAGTTATTTAGTAGCAAGTCTAGAAATATCAAATTATTCAGCATTAAAAAGAATGAAAGCTATCTGGCTTTCAAGAGCAGTCTTTACTTAAGCAAAGGTGAGCTTTGTTTGAAATATTCAAGAAAACATTTTATTCAAAGGGGTAAGCCCTTATTAGAAATTATCAGTAATGTGACATCCAAATTACTTTTTATTAAATATCATAATTGATCATAATATTAATAGAGTTTATATAAGTACAGAATCAGAAATTGAGATTCTTAAGACTTAATAATGTCATTTTAAAAATAAGAGCCAACCTACCATTATGTGTTCAAGTAGAGAATCTATTGCAACTATGTTATCAAAATAGGTCCTGTAGAAACAAAGGAACAAAAAGCTTGTAAGCAGTCTTATTTCGATTACAGTAAACACTTAAGACTTCAATACATTTTCTGATTTTGATGATGTTTAGGAAAAACAACAATTACACTATAAATTTTTTAAAAAGCACCACAGTTTCATATGCTGACTCTTCAAATCCTCACTGCAGCTACTTTTAATACATGAATTTATTAACGTACTGAACTAATTTATTTCTCTTGCTAATTTTAAGTAAGCCATATACATGCTGGCTGATTTATTCAACAAGCATTTGTTAAGAGGCTACTTCATATTAGGTATAATGCTGAGTACTTGGCTACAAAGAAGAAAAAAAAACTGCCTGCCCTTAAGGATCTTATCTTCTCCAGGGAAAGCAGAAGGAAGAAAACATGTACAGTGATACGCAAACATAAAATATATAGAACATAAATACCACATAATTTTTAAAGGGAGATGGGGCACTAACAAGTGGGAAAGATATAAAAAGGTCTCTGATAGGAGGTGACATTTGAATTGAGTATTAAAGGAAGCTGGAAATTGTACAAAGTGAAGTGACAATGCATTCTAGGGATGGGGCAACCCGTGAAAAGACAGAGAGACAGGTGATGGAACGATGTGCATGAGAAGAGGCCTATTTGATGAGAACATAAGAGTATCTAAAAGACAGTAACATGCAATAAGCCTGAGAAGAGAGGATCAGAGTGTAATAGGCTTGAAAACCCAAAGAAAAGCATTCAGATGTTTCCAAATTTTCTTCTAATCTCTATAATTTATATCATGGACCCATTTTGACCTTCTGTTTATTTCCAAAGATAATTAGGGAAAAAGGAAAAGGACCCAAATGTTCTAAAGCACTTTTAGTAGCTCTCACTGTGGTAGCAAAGAACTAGACGTTGTGGGGATATCCATTAACTGGGGAATGGCTGAACAAGTTGTGATATACGATCATGATGGAATACTACTGTACTATAAGAAATGATGAGCTCAATGATCTAAGAAAAACCATAGACAGACTTGCACAAAATAACGAAGAGTGAAATGAGCAGAATCAAGAGGATCTTGCATACAGTAACAGCAATATTGTTTTAAGAACAACGTTGAGCAAATAAATCATTTTGACTGTTATAAATACCCAAATTAACTACAAAGGACACATGAAGGAAGATACTATCTGCATCCAGAGAAAGAACTGATACACAGAAGTACATATAGAATGATTTTACATATATAATACATATACACACACATATTTGTGTCTCATGGTAGCCATCTCAAGTGAGGCGGGAAGGAAAAACATTTACATGATAATTTTATTATATATTTAAAAGGAACAGCAAGGTGTACAAAACAGATCTGCAGTTTCATGTGCAATCATCTTTTTAATTATATTATGTTATGGAAATGCTTGTTTTATTCCATAAATTAAAAATAAAATAAATTTAAAAATTTAAAAAGAAATATCAATTCTATAGCTGTGTAGAGGATGGATTAGAGTAGGTAGAGACTGAAGGCAAGGAAAACACTTGGGAGGACAATGCAATAGTTTAAGCGAAAGATTTTGACGTCCTGAATTACACTGGTAGCTATGGTAGCAGAATAAAGGGAATGGCTGAGAAACATGTTTTTTTCCCCCTTCTTTCCCCTCTCCCCTAGCAGAATCAATAGGATTTAGTGACTGATTAAACATGATGGGTGAGGTAGAGAGAAGAGTTCAGATGCCTCCAACTTTAAAATCCTCAGTGGATGGGAGGATGATGGTATCCTTAACAGAAATAAGTTTGAAGGAGGGGAAGTTTTAAGGGAAAGGGAAAGAATTCTGTAATGAACAAGAAGAGTTTGAGATTCCTAGGGAAAATACAATTGGAAATAACCAATAGGCAGTTGGTGACAAGAAACTAGAACTCAGAAGATAGACTAGAGCTAGATCTGGGAATCACCAGCATAGAGATAATAGGTAAAACAATAAAACTGATGAGATCATAAAAACAGAGATTACCCTAAGTAAAAGGCACTACACAGGACAATCTCACACTTCTTAGTGTTCTGTGTACCAGTTCATCATTTAAGATGTGAGGTATCATACACCAAAAAATTATATCTGACAGCAAGAAGCAGAAACTTTATACTCTTAATTCTATAATCATAATTATTATCATAACAATATTCAAATCCAACATGAATTAGAAGTTTCGAGTCGATTTCTGGTTGGGTGATGTTATGAAGACAAAATAAGTGATTTGCCAGAAAATTCTACTACAAATATAAATCTATGTCCATGAGGCACCAGTATTATGCCATATATGAGCAACATCACTTAGGTTTCTCCAACTTCTGTTACATATATATTGAGTCACTACAACAATAAATCATTTTTTTCTTTTTTTTTCTTTTTTACTAATTTATTTTGATTTATCAACAGTCACTTCCATAAGCTTTTCAGCTTTAAATTTTTCTGCCCTTACCTCCCAACCTCTCTCTCTAAAATGGTGTACAATCTGATATAGGCTATACATATATATTTCTATTAAACATATTTTCACATTAGTCATGTTGTAAGGAAGAACTAGAACCAATAGGAGGAACCACAAGAAAGAGAAAGCAAAACAAAACAGAAGAAAAAAACAGCAAATAGTATGCTTCGATCTGCATTCAAACTCCATAGTTCCTGGACAGCATTTTCCATCATGAGACCTTTGGAGATGTCTTAGATCTCTGCATCGCTGAGAAGGGCTGTCTATCCATGTTAATCATCACACAACATGGCTGTTACTGTGTACAACAATCTCTTGGTGCTGCCTATTTCACTCAGCATCAGTCCATACAAGTCTTTCCAGGTTTTTCTGAAGTCTGCCTGCTCATCATTTCTTATAGTGCAATAGTATTCCATTATATTCATATACCACAACTTGTTTAGCCATTCCCCAATTGATGGGCATCGTCTCATTTTCCAATTCTTTGCTACCACAAAAAGAGCTGCTATAAATATTTTTGTACATGTTGGGTCCTTTTCCCATTTGTACGATCTCTTTGGGAGACAGCCCTAGAAGTGCTATTGCTGAATCAAAGGGTATGCACATTTTTATAGCCCTTTGGGCACAGTTCCAAATTGCTCTCCAAAATGGTTAGATCAGTTCACAACTCCACCAACAATGTATTAGTGTTCCAATTTTCCCACACCTCCAACGTTTATCATTTTCCTGTTTTGTCATGTTGGCAAATCTGATAGGTGTGATGTGGTACCTCATAGTTGTTTTGATTTGCATTTCTCTAATCAATAGTAATTTAGAGCATTTTTTTCATATGACTATAAATGGCTTTAATTTCTTCATCTGAAAACTGCCTATTCATATCCTTTGACCATTTCTTAATTGGGGAATGACTTGTATTCTTATAAATTTGACTTAATTCTCTCTATATTTTAGAAAGGAGGCCCTTACCACAGACACTGGTGGTAAAAATGCCTTGCCAATTCTCTACTTTCCTCCTAATCTTGGTTGCATTGGCTTTATTTGTGCAAAAACTTTTCAGTTTAATGTAATCAAAATGATCCATTTTGCATTTCATAATGTTCTCTAGCTCCTGTTTGGTCGTGAATTCTTCCATTCTCCATAACTCTGATAAGTAAACTCTTCCTTGCTCTCCCAGTCTGCTTATAGTATCAGTCTTTATATCCAAGTCATGAACTCATTTTGACTCTATTTCGGTATATGGTGTGAGATTTTAGTCTATGCTTAATTTCTGCCCTACTCTTTTCCCAGCAGTTTTTGTCAAATAGTGAGTTCTGATCCCAGCAGCAGGAGTCTTTGGGTTTATCAAATAATAGATGACTATAGTCACTGATTACTGTGTCTCGCATAGCTAACCTATTCCACTGATCCACCACTCTATTTCTTAGCCAGTACCAAGCAGTTTTGATGACTGCTGCTTTATAATACAATTTAAGATCTGGAATGGCTAGGCCACCTTCCCATGCATTTTTTTTTCACTAGTTCCAAATGAATTAGTTCCAAATTGCTCTTCCAAATGAATCTTTTCATTATTATTTTTACTATTTTTTTCTACCTCTATAAAATAAATTTTTGGTAGTTTGATAGGGCACTGAATAAGTAAATTAGCTTAGGTAGAATTGTCATTTTTATCATATTAGCTCCACCGCTTCTGCTGCTCAAACTGAGGCAAACTCGGGGGTCCTGGTGTTGCTGTCTGCCTGCTCTACCACCTGGGGTTCAGGATCTCCCCCTGGTGTGCTGAGGTAGGGCTTTCTGCTAGCTTGCTGGGACACCTCCAGTTCTGTACTGCTCTCCTTTCTCCAGGGCAAGAGGGGTCTTTCCCATTAATCCCTCAAGCTACCTGTGCTACCAGACTGCTGTACCCTGTCTTTCTTCTGGTTCAGCTATTCCAGGGTTTTTCCTGGGGCGATATTTTCTGGGCTTTCAGAGGTTGTACACAGTAACAGCCATGTTGTGTGATGATTAACATTAATACAACAGTAAGAGCGCCTTCTTACTCCACCATTTTAGCCCCTGGAAGTGGAACCAATAAATCAATTGTAAGTTTTAGAAAAAGACATTAATACAAAAATCATCTAATGATGTTGATACATGGCAATTCCACAAAAAGATGAATTGTAAGAACACCTTCTTTGTTAGTAACTTTATTGTCCAAGGTAGAAATAATATATGCCTTCTAGAACATCAGAGAAAACAGGCTGTGATCATTAAGCACTGAAATGTCCAACATGTCAGAAAACACAACATCTACGTCTTAGAGTTATGCAACAGATGGAAGGATGCAAAAGAACTGAATTAAGGTTAACAGAAATTGGTGAGAAAAAAAAAAGGAAAGGTCTGAGGTACATCCAAGTAAGTCTATATACAACTATGAGAAAAAGTGAAAGAAAGGTGGAAATACAGTGTTAAAAATGGCAAACTTTTTAACATACTTAAGGTTAGTCTTGTTTACTTTCCGCTGCGTGGAAAAAATTGAACTTGT